ATCATATCCATTCACAATCAGAATTAAGAGAGCCTATTTTAATGAAAATCTATTAGCCCCTCATTGGAGACACGGATGTTGCTTAAATCAATAAAAAGCATAAAAGAGAATACGACGCAGGTTTCTAAATTAAAAAAAAAAATCCCATCTATGAAATGTGTTAAAGAAGTCTGTAAAATCCTGAAACCCTCGATCGATACTTATAAATATTTAATGCTTTTTTAAAAAAACACAAATTGAAAACCATTAACACTGCATCCATTCTTATTATCAAAACAAATTGTCCTTGGAATTATGTGCTGTGAAAAGGGAGCCAGATTGAAGGGCATCCTCTGAAATATGTTTACTTGCTTTCATGTAAACCAATAAAAATCTACAGGAATCTGTAGAATGAGGAGAAAGGTTTGATGTATAATGCCTATGATTACAGTCTCTGAATTAATCGAGAGAGAGAGAGATGAGCATACAGAGAACTCAGGAGCTGCTGTGCAAAATCTTGAGCTTCATTTAAGGGCTAATTAAAGTGTTGATTAAACAGATAAAATAGTTTTTGGCTATTTACTTCATTTTGACCAGAAATCATAGAATTATGGGACTGGAAGGGACCTGAAAACAGTTTCACTAAAAGTCATAAAAAGGGTACTGAAAATGGTAATGTCCCTTGTAAATATTAAATTCAATAGCAGACACACTTTGCCTTGGAAATACTTAAACCTATGAACTATTCGTTCATGATTATTTTCCTGATTTACTTAAAGGAAACTGCTGGATGATCGTGAGGTCCCTCTGCAAGCAGAGAAAAATAACATATAGAGAGAGAGATATTATGCTAAATAAATGCTCGTCTGTGATACCTCGTCAGAAGCTGTTGTCTAACAATGCTGCATTTTATGCACAAACTACGTTGTTTATATGTATTCCTATCCAGTATATTCCAGTGTGTGTCATGTAACTAACAGCAATATATATGTACACACACATAAAATACAACTTAGATATGTATATGTATATGTTTATATTTTCACGTATGTATGCCTGTGTAATTAACATATGCTCTCTCTCTCTCTCTCTTGCTCTTGTTCACAATAGACAAGCATTACTTTCAGTGTTCAGGATCAGTACAGTGATGAGGACAGGCACTTTTCTAGTACAATGCCTTTTTATTAAAAAAAATAGTGACCGCCTGCAATCACTGAGGAGCCTGTGTCAATAATCATGAGACATTTGTCCTCCTAGTTGTCCCCTTCGACGTTGTTGTTCGCCAAGGGATGTACTCCTCTGACCGAGCTGCCCTGATCCAAAGAAACCCCAACGACTGTCATTGTCCTGAGCTAACGTTCTTCCTTAATTGTTTGATGCCTCTGAATAGGGTAGGCGTGGGGGGGGGGGGTCGGGTTGTTTTGAAGGAGGTGAGATCTCCTGGGTACAGGACCAAGTCCCAAACCTAAAGGAGTTGCGTTCCCCTCGCGCTGGCCTCTTGAGGTGAGGCTGAAAGGCCGAGTAAGTGGGGGTGGGGGGGGGGGGGGGGAAGAATTTAAAAAAAAGTTATTAAGCGTGAACGTGTGCGAATGCAAGAGAGAATAGTTTAGTATTTATTTAACCACTTCTGGAGAGAGAGAGAGAGAGAGAGAGAGAGAGAGAGAGATGTCTAATGGAGAGGGGGAGGGAGAGGAAAGCGAGATCCCCATGAAGTGAGGTCCCGTTTACACAGGAATCAGAGCATGGCTAGCCGTCTCATTTCATAGTTATCCCACCCTGGCTCAGAGGAGATAGATGACTCACTCCTTTAACCCAGAGGTTGAGGTGGGGGGTGTGGTTAAAGGGACTGCTCTGTGCAGGTGATTTGGGGCAATGCTCCGAAGTGACTGAAAAAGCCGTGTTGAACAAAGATTTTTTTTCTAAATGTCCAGTTTATCACCTGACAATTCCCTGTTTCTGCTGGTCTTTCGGTCAAAGCTTAAATCAGGGGGTGCAACGCATTGGTGCTTTAGATTTGCCCTCCTTTGTGCTTTGTGAGACGGAAGTCCTGGGATTCCAGTCACCAAGGCACCAAGACATCCAGAAATCACAACTTTGTAGGCAGAGTTTTCAGGTCAGTTTCAAAACGCTGATTTAAAGTTAAAACGGTATTTAGATCCTTTTGTTTCGAGGCCGTTCTAGGGAGTTTAGTGCCTGAGAAGGCAAAAGGGTTTGTGTGGCAGTAAAATCTCTCTCTTTCTGAATTTGCAGAGATTTAAAAGTTTGTGACGGAGTCAAAGTTTCGCCTCTTTTGTTATTCTGAACTCCATTGGAAGTGATTAATTTTTTGGCGAAAGAATGTCCCCCACTTTTTATTGGTAAATCAGCATTAAGATTTGAATTTGACGAGCAGTTAACAATTTGAGAGGGTATTATGCTCTCAAGATAATGTGCAGTCTGTCAGAACAGGATCGTGCGGGCGAGCACCTACCGAGTGTGTTTAGGTACCCCTGGCGAGCGTAGAGGGTTACACAGCAAAACATGTCTCGGATAGGAGATTAGCTCTTTCGCAACAGGCCTATATGCCAATGTTTCTCCAAAGCCGCTGTCTGGGGGACTAGGATGTTGTGTGGGAGCAATGCACAGAATATTTGGCGCTTCCCCATTAAAAGTCAAACGCGTCGACTTCCCTAACTCTGAGAAAGTCCACACGTTCAGAAAGACTAGCAAACTCCCAAGCTGTATGATGAAAGTTCCTCTCGGCCAATACTGGGTCAAACAGTTAAACTAACTTTAAGTAGCCTAGTGAAATAATGGCGCATGTTTATCGCATGCAGATTTTTAATTACCTAATGTATCACATACTGTACAAAGTCAAAATCTGTGGGGCAAATAGGCGGAACTATGTGTTCCATGGGAAGCTCATAAAACGTGTCACTGGGACCAATATGGACTGTCTCCCTCCGGTGTATGTCAGAAGGGCTCTGATAGAAAACTGCCGAGTTCTTGGGACTGAGGATCTGGCTGTGGTAGGACTGACTCCACATCCAGATCCGCATTTCTGTGAAGGTGCCCGAAGCAAACTCCGGGCCACTTGCCCAGTAAAGGACGGGGCAAACTAAGGACCTGGCGGGTTGGGAGAACTGGTGGGGGGTTACTATCTTGGGAAGTCGTGCTTCCCTTCAGAGCCAGGGGAAGAAAACAGAACACGAGGGTCAAAATAGGGCTAGAGGGGGGATTATTGCAAACTATCCGAGATCATGTAACTAAGCTAGAAGTATGGGAGAAGAGGGCTATGAAACACCGACGTTCAAACTGGAAGGAGAGTGTGGAAACAAATATTTACCCCAACTATTTACCCTTAATTTGAGAGACAGTGAGAGACAAATTGTCTGTTAATGCGGAGGGGAATCCATAATGAAGGAGTCGAGGGGTTTGGAGAGTTTCATTGATGTACAAAATTGCAGCTCAGGAAAGTTCATATGGCTCACGACCTAGGGAGTGAGTAAGACACGTGGAAACTGGATTCTAAGATCATCCTTGCCAAATCCTTCCTTTTCTATAAAGAAGAGTTTAACTTTGAAAAATCTAATCGAATAGGTGCTTGTGTGTGTTTTACTACAAACCTAATCTAAAAGAAATGTGGGTCTATATATGTTAGCAACATATATGTATATATGACACACACACGTATATTATCTATAATATATGATAATATTATATTATCTAATCAACATATTTTGACTATATCTTTTTATCCATAAATAGGTAATTTCCATTTATTATTGATAGGGTTGCGTGTAATATATATTAGGAACTTGGATCTGATTGGCTCGTGCGAAGACAAGATCTGTTTGTTAAATTCTAAGGCTTCTGTTGGCTCCCTCGCTGGTTAAATGAACTCTATAGGTAGGAGGCTGCTGAGAAGCAACAATAAAATCAATGTCAGGGATATCGGTAGTGCCAAGATCAAACGATCAATCCTTGTCCCCTTGATAATCATTTTAAAATCACACAGGGGGAATCGATTTTTTTTAAAGTGCTTTATTAATTGTTTCCTCGATGTTCTTTTCTCCTCCTGCGGAGGTGTTAACTCCGGTGTCGGGGGGGAGGGGGAGGCGTGCACCCCTGGATTAATTAAATACATTTCTATTGTTTTAATGCTCTGTTAATTTTCAGAGCAATCACACACTTTCCTGGAATGCAAACAATGGACCCTGACTCACACAAGGAGATCTCATTTGGATAAAATTCAGAGCAGAGAGTGGGCATGATGATGTGGGTTGATTAACTAATGCTCGCGATGAGGACCTGACACAAGAAAATGCAAAATGAACGCCAGTGGTAACCAGAAATTCCCACAAATGCCAAATCCTTTGTGTTAAGTCCAAAGGGGGGGTGAGGGAGGGGGAAAGGTCAGCTTTATATTCCGATTGAATTGTGCAGAGAGGAGTTAGAAATGTCACTGCTATTATCTGGACATTACATTCAGGCAGTCATTCCAACTTACAGGGTGGTAATTATGACATGGTGCACAACAAAAATAACCGCCCACCATGAATAAGATGGAAAAATTAGTGACAGCTCCATCTTAAATATGACAATAGTCGTTTAGCTTTAAAAATGTAGACCAATCTAATATTCTATTTGATGTGTACAAACAGGACCACTCCTGCTAACAAATCATCCTTCAGTACCACTCACCAGGACAGGTTTGCATTATACAAAAATTAGACATTTTTAGATCTTAAATTCCCGGACAACATCTTCGGGCAACATAATAGCATTAGCCAGAAAACAGATCCTGTAATGTTTACACACTGGACGTGCCTGTACCTATAGGCAAAAACTGATAAGGACCTCAGAGATTTACAACAACCGGCTTCACTGCAATAAATGTTTTTCTCCGTAATAGACAACACTTTAAAACAACATTTTTGTTCACTGAATAATTTGACAATTTTTAATTAAAACAGAAAATCGCCATCATGTAGAAGCATAAATATTACAGCAAATGCACATATCCAGCTTGTATTAATTACCTTTTTATTGCACGGTCATTTTCTTTTCCCATTGATATCTATGCATTTAATTGCAAGAACAGATTTATTTGATTAGCTAGGTCCGTTTTTACTCACAGTGTTGGTAAGCTTAGGATGTCCTTACAATCAATAAAGTCTTCCTTGACTTTCATTTCTGCAACCCATTTACAGAATGCAGATACCTGTTTTTGTGTTTTCTCTTTCCCCCCTTTTATTTCTCTCTCTCTCTCTCTAGTTGCTTGTGCTCTTTGCCTCCCTAAATCAAGGTGCAAAGATGCCAAACAGTGATGAAATGAAAAGAAAGCCAATTGCTGGACTGAGGTGGGGGAGATAGCTGCTAGGAGTCCGCCTGCGACTATGGAGCAGTCAGTAATTGCTGGAGACAGGGAAAGCTGGGGGTTGGGCTGAGGTAGCCATGTATAAATAGTGTGATCTCAAATTGAAAGGCATAAATAACAGCAGGAGTGATCTAACCCTATACAGCCCATCTTCTACGTGCAAAAAAAGCGTGCAGAAGACGGCCAGATCTCCTGCTGAAAACAAGTGGATCTCTGTGGATAAAATCGCCGGGCAGCCATGGAAGAACTTACAGCTTTTGTATCCAAATCTTTTGACCAGAAAAGCAAAGAGAGCAGCAGCAGCAGCAGCAGCAGCAGCAAGAAGGAGACTATCACGTACAGGGAAGTTTTGGAGAGTGGGTTGGCTCGATCTAGGGAGCTTGGAAACTCTGACACTAACCTGCAGGACATTACTGAGAGCAGCAACCATTGCCCGGTGCATCTTTTCAAAGACCATGTAGAGAGTGACAAGGACAAACTGAAAGAGTTCAGCACGGGCAGGACTTCGGAAGGTAAGCACTGTGCAGGCGGGAGCCCCCTCTGCAAAGCCGGCTCCACGCCGGGAGCCTTCCTCTCCCTTCTTTCCACACTGCGGCCCTTCAGCTTTGCCGCTCGCCTGAAATGAGGGGTGAAACTCAGTTAATTGAAACCGATGCGTCCCGATGAGAGCACACGCTCATCAGTTTCATGCCTTTGTGTGTGCGCGCGTGTGCGTGTGTGTGTAGAGAGAGAGGTTTGGTTTAACAGTGAAAGGGGAAGTAGCCACTTTACTTTAGCTAGAGTCCCCCCTTTAAATCGGAAATCGGACAGATTGTAGGTGCCTTAACAATGCTCTGTACGGGGTTAGAAGTTCCATGGGTAGGCAAATGAGGAAATCTTGTCCAGGGAGTTCTAATGCATCAGAAGACATGTTCTTCCTGTTTCCGGGCCATCAGGATGCTGCTTCTTCTGGGAGAAAGCTGGACCTTAAGGCGCTGCCTTTGGACAATTTTGTCTTGCAGAACACAGATCAGTCAGTAGATTGTTTTCGTATATAAGTGGGTAGTGAGAAGTCATAAAGCAGCATAGCTGTGCGTGTACTCTAAGGGGCAGATAATCATGGAGACAGCGAAACATTCCAAGCCTTGGATACATATGCTGTCATCAGGTTCAGGACATTCAGTCCTGTCTGGCAATCTCACCTTTGTCAAACTAGTTTCACCTCTACGTCCCTAGATGCTATCGAATTTTAAAACATGAGTACTTTTTCATTCACACACACACAGAGAAAGAGAGAATCAAATCATGGGGGGAACAAAAAGCTGAGAAAGTGTCTCCGGGCAAGTTGGTCAGGTCGACCTGTCCTGGGAGCTACTAACTAGGCTACACCTGGCTATAATAAAAATCGTCTAATTGGTTTGTGAACAACAACCAACCTTTCAACTTTTTTGAAAAACCCTTTAATGAAACGCTGACTGAAAGACACTTGAATTCACAGTAAAAAAACCATATATAATAATTTTGAGAATAATTCTTTTTTAAGTCTTATAATGTACTTGAGGCCTGTATTTCTGAAGAAGTATATCTCACTTAGCACTTCGTTATTTTTATTTTTAATGATCAAGATTACAAAGCATGGACACCATTTATAGAAATTATTCAAAAAGGAAGCCTTATTAAAACGAAACATGGATATTGTTCAAAACTCCCCCCCCCTTTTTTTTTTATTCTAAGCATATAAATGTTAGACTGTGTGTTTATCTAATCTAATCTAATCCGTCTATGTATAGAGGGGTGGGGTGGAGGTGAGAGGGCGGAGTTGTGCAAGATGAGGCGTTTGTGACAACGTCAGTGCAGGTAAAGGTTCAATCTAATTTCACTGATTTCAATATGCTATTCCAATCCCACCGATATGACTATCCAATATTTTGTATACACTGTGGGCATGCTTAATTCTCTGCGGAGAATGCATCTACCACAAGACTCAGTTTATCTTTCTACACGGCTCATCATTGTTTATTCATTTAGTTAGAAATATCTTGTTTAAATACGGCTTCATGAAAACCGCATACATTACAGTGAGGAATGCGGGCCAAACGCTTGTTTTAGGCAAAGGACAGGCAAACGTGAAAGTGTTAAGAAATCGAACAGCAGTCTATAAGGAGGGGGCCGTGAAGTGATGTGAACTGTTGTAGTTTAAGTTAAGAAGTGAAAACAAAGATTTGGGTTCTGGTGGCCTTTTCTCCTTGGATTTCCACTGGCACAGACCCCGCTTCATTCAAATATTTTCATTTAGTAGTCACCAGATTTTTGGGGGAGGGCGGGGGGGGGAATTCAACATTATCTCTGTACATTTATTCTCACCCCCAGCCCCACACTGGCTGTGAGGCGGATCAGAACAAAAGAAACAACTGGAGGGGGGGGGGAGGAAATAAAGACCTTGCTGGGACTCCTTAAATCGCGCGGCGGTGGAACAATTTGGGTAACCTTTTCGCGGCTATACAATCAGATTTGGTCGAGGGCATGCAGCTGGCTGGCACAAGCGTGATTAAAATAGACACCCTCTGCTGATCAAATGGTTTTGGCCATTTTCGTTATTACGATTAAAAGAGGATTTGCGCCCTAGGTCCCTTTTCCAAAACAAGCCAGAGAGAAAACCGCCGGGGTTTGTTTTTGGCCTCGTTGTAATGTTTTCCCCTCCTCAGTGTAAATCTCCACATGCCCCAGTTTCCATGTGGACGGATGTTCCACAGGAGACATCAGTCTCAGGTTAGAAACGCTCCCCCGCCCCTGGCACCTTCTTTTCTAGCGATTTCCCCAAAGGCGGCCAAGATGGGAGTGACGAGGTAGAGAGGAAGCACGTTATTCCTTGATGGGAGGGGTGTGTGTGTGTGTGTGTGTGTGTGAGCTCCCCCCCGATGTAACAAGGCCGGATTCTTCCAGCGACACAGAAAGATGACCGACCCCTGCCAACAGCTTGGAGTTTCCCCAGGTATTTTTGGCGAAGTGGCTCACGCCCGTGTAACTAAACAATGGACAAAATTCTCTTACCACGCGAATGTTTTGCCTTCACCCCAACAGCGGTAGGCAATGCCCTGCATAACCGCATTTACTTCTAAAGAAAACAGCAACCCAGAGCTGCCCCTCCCCACGCCCCTTTCCACTGGCTCCACATAGGGTTAGCAGAACGATTTCCCAGCATTCGTCTGCGACCCTTCTTCAACTGCAGTTACCAACGCATCATAGGTGCTGGTTAGTGACTTGTTTTTAAATGGTCCTCACATGGCGAAATTCACCAGCGAACCAAAAAACCCCCAAGCCCCTTCTTTTTCCTCGCACGGATACCGTTGCTGTTCGTGAAACAGTGGCTCAGACCCTCCTGATATGTAAAAGGAGTGATGGTCGGACACAGTGATTAAATATTTCCCAGCATTCCCCTAGAGTGCAGCACAATTTTGGGGCCCGATGCTGCAGTCTTCACTCAGGCATAACTTCCACGGTAGTCCACTGGGGTAACATCCCTGTCATGGCTCTGTGATGGTGTGTTATTTTCTGCTCCAATCGATTGCTTACGCTTTCCCTACACTGTTGCTCTTGTTGGGTGACAGAAGCTAGTGCTAGAAGAGGTACGTTGCCATGGGATGGGGATACATAATAAATAATATTTCTCTATAAAGACACAAAAAACTGCCCTCCCTTCACCGCCCCTTTCCCCCGAAGCAAAAATTCTGTGCGTGACAACATGAGAGTGATTCTGTTTAATGGCACTTTCCTCTAGTTTAGAATCAGGTTGGGGAAGAGGAGAGGAAAAGAAAAACTAGCCTCCTGTGCAAAAGAAACTTTTGTGAGATACTAAAGCGAAGCTCTGTGTCCCCCGCTCCCTCCCCACCCCCCGGCAGGGATCTACGAGTGCAAAGAGAAGAGGGAAGACGTGAAGTCAGAAGATGAAGATGGACAGACCAAGCTCAAACAGAGGAGAAGCAGAACCAATTTCACACTAGAGCAGCTGAATGAGCTGGAAAGACTTTTTGATGAGACTCACTATCCAGATGCCTTCATGAGGGAGGAACTAAGCCAGAGGCTGGGACTCTCTGAAGCTAGAGTTCAGGTAAGAGAAAGACTCTTGCATTATGTTCCTGGAAATGTCCTCACCTCAGTTCCTGACTGCCAGTGGATTCTAGCACAGTGCCCTGTTTCATTCAAAGCAGGAGAGCTGAAAGCAGAAACGACACGTCTGGTGGGAAGCTGTTTGTATATCCGGTGAACTTGTTCTGCTAAATATATTTCTTAAACTCCTCCATTGTTGCCTTTAGTTTTTAGAAATTATCTAAGTAATAACGTAATGAATTGCTTTTGCAAACTCATCTGATCACTAAATAACCTCTCCCTTAATCCCCATCTTTTTCTTTCGCCCTGCTCTCCTTTTATGGGGATATTTTTTAAAAAAATCAGAAAACAATTGTCATGGATAAGGCTAGACGGTTTGGGTGCTCTGGGACTGGATTATCTAGAGCCGGGGGAAAGGTGCTCCCATCTGACTCGCATAGCAAGCATATGAATTCATTGCACCCCATCTGGTATATTTTCCCTCTCTGCCTTTTTTTAAGGTCTCATAATCCTTAGACATAGCCACAAAAATGTGGCAATCAAAACCTCGCAGAATTGCTCATTGTGTCTTCGAATCGATTAAAAAATATTTTAACTTTCTCCTTGATAGCCAAGGGGAGGAAAAAAAAAGAGAAATAAACAGGGAATCCATTCCAAAAGCAGATGTCATGTAAAAAAGAATTAATAAGATCAACCTGTGGATCCCTGAGCAGGAGCACAGGGCGAAGAAATTTAAAGAAAAACTCTTATCAGGTTGTTATTCTCTACATGGCTAACAGAGGAAATAAATCCTTTTACTTTTTAATCACATCAATTTCTCTGAAGAAAAATAACATGTATATATGCTTATATATGTAAATAAATATACACACTAGGCTTCGGATGGCA